GCGGGCATGATTCTAACACTTCCAGATCCCTCTTTTCCTCCAAGTCCAGGCTTTTCTATCTACTGAGCTCCTGCCTGCTTGGGCTCCCATCAGAAGAGCAGCCCCTTCTCTGGGGTTGACACTGAGAGTGACTTCTGCTACCATCATTCTAAACATCATTCCTTAAATCAGGACAGTCCTTCCACAGGGCCTTTAGAGAGACAGGAACGGTCAGGTGTTTATGTGTGTGTGTGTGTGTGTGTGTGGTGGCAATGGTAGCACCCTGCCCGCTAGGTCACTGAATCAACTCCCGTGTCATGGAGAGATTTCACTGCCATGGCCCATCTGCCAAGAACCTGGAGTGTTACATTAGTACCCCTTAACTAATTGAGGGATCCTTGAGACCCAAGCATTGTCCATCAGCTGGGGGTAGAAAGATCTGGGTTGGTTGACAGTGGTTGGATGGGGGATGGAAGGAGAGGGAGCGGGGCAGGGCCAGCTCCGGGGTGTCTTGATGTCCCGCTCTGAGTGTGCTGATGTACAGCAGATGTGCAGTTTCTGGAGACACACTGGTAAGCTGTACTGGAAACTGAATCCCATCTGCCACTGCAATCCTTCTTTGTTCAAAATTTGCTGTGGTCCACACTGTGGGAGCTGGAGGTAAGGAGAGGCAGCACAGATATATTTTTAGAAAGGATGAGCCTTACTTGCTTAGTTTGTATAAGCTTTTGCCAATCTTCTGTCTAGGGCAATATTTGAAGGAAGAAAAGATAACTCTGTAGAGATATACCTTCATACCTGGATTGTCAGGTATCTCACGCATTTAAGAGGGCCGCACGTGTATTCGTAGATCTGTTTGCCAATTATTTAAGCTCACACATCCTGTTTAGTTTCTTCTTGGATACTTTTAAGTTAAAATACCATTTATGTCTTAATTAATCTCTTCCTTGTTCCCACTTTTGGCCTCCACACTCCAGGAGCCCCACGTTCCCTTCCCAAGAGCAAAGGCGACTACAGAGGGATAAGAGAGGCTCAGAGGCTGAGCCCATCCCTCCTTCTCCAGCTGGTGCTTCTGTCTTTCGGAGATTAATCCTTTGGCCATGAACTTGTAAACCTCGTCTCCTGGCTAGGCTGCAATCAGTGGAAGCAGGAAATGGGACTTCTGTGTCTTGTTGGTACCCCACCCCCACCCCCTGCACCCAACCCGATGTTCCTGACACCAAGCTAGTTCACGCCCATGGTGGTTTAGCTGCCAGAGGACACTGGGTAGACAGTGTGGAGGCCCTGCTCCAACATGGGCAGGAATAAAGAAAACCTGTGTCCCCTTGGCCCATCTGTAAAGCTGGCTGCTAGCCGCTGCGACAAGGTGGAGGGAACGGCCAGACGTGCTGCCAGCTCCCAGTTTGGAAACTGTCTTCTGTTGTTGTTGGACAACCATGACCTCCCCCACCTCCCTTGTTCCCTGTGGCCCCTGGGCCAGTGAATGCCTCAGGAGAGCCCTGATTGCCAAACGGGAAAGGACAAAATAGCACACTTTTAAATTACAGGGGAGAGAGGGAAGCAAATAAAGACATTAATTCAAAAACCAAATAGGAGGATTGCGGATTGGCCAGTGATGTTACTTTGGAAGGACTTTGGGAATTTATTTGGGAGGGCAGATGTTGTTTAATTTTAGCTCAAATTACCGAAGTTTTTGTGTTTGTAAAGCAAAACACTGCCGCGGTCTCTACCCTGGGCCATCTCCGCTTCGGTCTTTCTAGACCATGACCACGATCTTGTTTGGCTGGCCCTGAGGCCACTCTTGGGTTACAGGTGGGCGGTGAGATGGGACAGGTCCTGTGATGGAGTAGGCGTCCCCGCCTATGCATACAACCCCTCCTTCACTTGTTCTGACCACTTCATTCGTCCTCCCCACCGCTCTCTGAAATTTTGCAAGGTCAGATATTTTGATGAGGGTGCGTTTCTTCTCATCCTAAACAGAACTCCCAGGCCTCAGCATACAGCACATGTTAGAAGCCTGAAATCCACCAAGTTGGACAGATAACAACAGAAGTCATGCAGGTGGTGACAGTACTGATAGTGTGGCTTGGGATGGGCTTGGGGGGGCTTGGGATGGGCTCACACACTGTTCTCAGGGCTTGTAGTTAACCCTCACATCAATTTTACGAGGCACTGTTATCATCAGTCTTATTTTATAGGTTAGAAAAGTAAGGCACAGAGAGGTTCAGTGACTTCCCAAAGATCACACAGCTTCAGACTGGGATTTGAACCCAGACAGTCGGGCTCCAGAGCCCAGACCCTTCAATTCTATGCCACGGTGCTGCTCCACTAGTAATAAGTACATCACTTATAAGCCTTGTGAGAAGCATGGGGCTGAGAAAGCCGGAGGGATTTAGGAGGAAAGTGCCCTGGTGAGACAACACAGTCGTGGTGGAATTCCAATGAAGCTTCCTGACTACAAAAGCTTACTCTTTTCATTAAACTATCCTCAGCTGAAAAGGTTCCAAACTCAGGCCATTTCAGGGTAAGGAAGGAGTTGGCTGGCTGTAGTTGCAGAAGCTTCCAGAAGTACCCAGCTTTATGGGACAGGTCTGCTTATGACATCTTACGTCTAAATCAAGTCGAGCCATTTTTGAGCCAGGATGTTGCTATTTAAAGGAATCCCTTTTGCCTACCCCTGCCCTGCCCCCAAGGCCGAGACTCACTCCCTAGTTTACCTTCTGTGTTAATGAAGCAGAGAAGATGGGGCCAAATCAATTCAGGAAGAATCAACAGCAAAGTCCTGGCAGACATGCCTCTGCCCAACAGTGAAGCTGTTACAACCTGCCTGTGGGAGTTCATATAGAGGAAGTCGTCCCAGGGGCCTCCGGGAGGATGGCTGGCAGCCGAGGATGCTGCTGCAGAGCGAGACACAGAGGTGGACGCAGAGTCTTGAGGGAGGCTGGCCTGGGAGCTGGCCAACCTCTTGTTTTTTACAGCAGACTTGGAAACAGCCACTCGCCTCCTCCTAATGTGAACCGCCTCAGCTAAAGAGCTAACGCTGCCAAAGGACTCCGTGTTTTGCCATCCCTGGCAAGAAAGGTCTGAAGGGCCCATTGATTCATTGAGTCCTGACTTCATGTCTGATTGGAAGGGTAGGATCCAAGCCCATTTGGGGAGAAACAGGACAGAATCCAGTAGGTATGGGGACATAGGGGATTGGTTCTCAGGAAAGGTCTTTTTGAAAGAAAAAGATTAGAGTCAAGGAACTGGAGAACACAGTGGGGCCTCCACGCTGGGGAGGGATAATGGAGCTCCCTGTGTGTGTGTGTGTGTGTGTGTGTGAAGGATATTCTGTTTAAACAAGCATTTATTGAACATCTGCTCCTTTGGGGCCTAAATGAAACTTGAAATAGGAAAGAGCAACAGGATCTCAGAGCTAGCAGAGTTCCGTTTGCATGGTCTGCGGGAGCAAGACGCGTTCCACTCCAGCCATGCTAGCAGGGGGGCCTCCAGCCCCCCTCAGTGGAGACACTTTCCTACAGCAGGCCCCCTCCCTTCTGTAGCCAAGTTCTTCTTATTAAATGGTTTTCTTTCTTGGGTTGAGCCCATGAATGTTATACTTTCTGTTTCCAAGATGTATCCATTTGCTCCTCTGTGAGCCAGTTTTCCCCAACTCCAAGGCAGCTTTTGGGTGCTGCTTCTCCACATAAACTAGGAGAAGACACAGTCTCAGCCTCTGGTAATCTTGAAGTCAGTTCCTCTTGGTGGGATCCTGCTGCACGAGTCAACGCCTCTCTTTCTGGCCACAGTGCCCTGAGTCTGATTATTTTCATACTTAGAGTCAACAGGTATTTACTGAGCAAGTCCTTTCTGCCAGCCCTTGTAGAGGAAGATTGCCTAAGATCTTTTGTTTAATTCTCATTCCAACTCCAGGATGGGGGGGGGAGTTATACCCTCTTTACAGATGAGAAAATTGAGGCTCGGGAAGAAGCAGCAGCTTCACTTCTAGATCAGTTTCCTCATCTAAATAATGTGGGTGCTGATACTGCCTTTGGAAGACAGTTGAGAGGAGCAAATAAGTGAAATATACAATTGCACATAGTAGGTGTGCAAGAAGTGCGGGCTGTTTTGATTGTGACAGTCCTTCCGTGGTCAACCCATTGCAGTTTTGGTGGTGCTGGCGATGATGATGATATTAAGAACATTTATCAAAAGTAAACTGTATCCAAGATAGTGTCAAGCGTTTTTCATCCATTATCTTTTCTAATCCCTTCAGGTCAGGAGATTAATACCATTATGATTCCTGTTGTATAGAAGAGGAGGTGGGGGCCAGAAACAAAGTTAGCTACTTGCCCACAGGTGTAACAACTGTAGACACAGAGCTGCGCTTGGAACTGTCTGTCTGGCTCCTGAGGCTGCCCTCCCAGTCTCTCCATCTTCCACCACATCCCCGTTGAACTGGACCCCTGTTGCTCCCTTGCGTTCTAAGTACTGGCCACCAAGCACCTAATTAGAATGCCAAATGGGGACACACAGGGCACCTAGGGCACATGGCAACCCTGTGCATGTGTCAGGATGGGGTGACTTAACCCATGCAAACGAAGAGTCCTAAATGAGGTCACTAGGAAAGGGTCCTAGAAAGATAATAGGTCTGGCCCATGGTGTGGCCAGGTGGGCAATGGAGGGAGGACAGGAGGCTCTAATAGGAAAAGTAGATTCTGGATTATAGTAAAGCGCCAGAGAGAAGAAGAAACTCCAGGCTGGGGGGTGCGTGTAGCCTAAGAATTTCCAGGGCTGGCAATTGTGAACCTTGGGGTAATTAACTTGAAAGACAGCTACTTCCCTTATCCTCTAACCTCCCTCTCACCTCAGTGTCTAGAATTCCCACTCTTAGGAACACAATTGTTTATTCGAGTTGCCTCTAAGGGAAGGGAGTGATTCCAAGCACGGTGGGGGCTGTGTGCCCACCCAGAGGTGCTGGTCCTGGTGTGGTTCAGGCCTTTGTAACCTCCCCTGTCTCTGTTTTGTTCTCTCTGCAGTGATCCGGGCCAAGGTGGTGGGGAAGAAGCTGGTGAAGGAGGGGCCCTTTGGCACACTGGTCTACACCATCAAGCAGATGAAGGTGAGTGACATCATCAGCTTGGCTCCAGGAGGGTTTCTGGGTTTTTGCCAGAAGAGTCCTGGCCAAGGGAGGTGAAGTAGGTTGCAACTGGAGTGTGTGTTTGCTCAACGTCTAAGCCCCAGCCAGACCCAGCCCTTCTGCCCGCTGGAGAGGGAGCTGCTGTGGCAGCAGAAACGGATGGGGCTGCACTGTCCCAGAGCCAGTGCAGGTGGAGTCACTCAGAGGCACTTGTTAGGAAGCTGAGCTCTGGAAACAGATGGCACATGGCCTTGTCACCTGGTAACCTTGAGACCTGGGTCTAGTCACTGCCCTTGTCTGGGCTGTAGTCTTCCCAATTGTAAACTGAGGGATTAGACTAGCTAGACCATCTCTACAGGCTCTTCCAGGGTCTGACTTTCTGGGATTCAATGATGCCCACAGGTCTGGTGCAGTCACTGGGGTTACAACTTAGGTTTGCACCCCTCTGATCTTTACACTGAACTTGTGCTGATCACAGGAACTTCACCCTGTGGTGGGAACGCACCTTCTTCCTCTGTCTTCCCAGCTCTGATTGCCTTTCTGCAACCTAGCTCGTTAGAGATGCTTACTGGGCATATGCGTATGATTAAACAGATCGCTGAACACGTGGAGGTTATGCAGCCCATGAAGGAAGTTTGCCTTAAGAAAAACAACATCAGATTTGCAATCTGGAGAACCTGCATCCTTGTCTCAGCCCCATCCCTAAGTGGCTCCTTTACCTTGGATTTGCCCTCTGTTAACAGTGCGGGGTTGGGCTTGGTGCACCTAAGAGCCCTTCTAGCCTAGGAGTTCCGAGTGCCCTGGGACACTGGCAGTGTTTCTTGTCCACAGGAGCAGGTGGTGGGTGCTGGAAGGCTCTACTTCCCAGCAGAGAGGACTGGGCTTCACCTTGAATAACTTAACAACTGGTCCAGCACCTTTGTAAGGACCTCCCTATGTGCAGAGCTCTGTGCCAGGAGCCAGCGTGGCCATGAGGGAAAGAGGGTTTCTACCTTTAGGAACTACAGTCAGGTGTTCAGAGTGAGATGTGCTCAAACTTTTAACTCATTGCTCATATTTGTGTCCCCAGCTACTGTGGTGGAACCTAGCATGGAATATGGACTTGGTGACTACCTATCCATCTAATGAGGGGATAAGGATGAGACCCCATGGCTTCAAAACTCCCCAGAGGAGACAAGCCTTAATGTCCAGGTGGAACTGAGTAGGAGAGTGACAAGCCCATGGGTGGTACCCAGCCATCCCTGAGGCTGACCTCCAGGCTTCATTATTCTTGCATCCTGAGGCCTGGAGCTAGATGTACTAATTTTGTGGAACCTGTTGCTTTGGATTCAATGTTGGAAACATCCACAGCCTTCTGGTTATGTAATGTCCAGAGTCAGCCCTGGCCAGCTGCCCTTGGCTGCCTAAGCTTAGTCATGAGACCAGATTATGTCTTCAGACAGCCCTGGGGAGAGGAGAACGGGCAGAGGGGGCCAGCAAGAGCAACAACAACCCACAAAACCCAGTTTGCAACCTCTGGCAGCCAGCGAGGGAATGCCAGAACATGTTAGACCAAGTAGAGGTTCAGAAAACACATCCCCCAGCCCGCTGGAACAGTCCTCATTAGGAGACGCTTGGTGACCAGCAGAGAGCTGCGAGGGACATAGTTGGGAAGCAGCAGTTTCTAAGCCTGCTTAGCTTCCTTCCTACCGGCAGGGCCTGGGGACCAGGGTGACTGGAAGCGCTTCCTGTGGGCAGCATGTCCTGTTCCCTCCTTGCTGGTGTCAGACCAGCCACAGGGGCGGGGCTGGTTGTTTAGAAGCCAAACAACATTTGCTTGCCCCTTGGCTTCAGAGTATGCGCTTTTGTTATTGCCGCCGGCTGGCAGGCTCAGGCCTCCCACTCGGCAGCCTTCCCCTAGGTTCATGGTGCTGGGCATTTGATAGAAAATCCTTCCTTTTACTTCTGACAGCAGCTCAGAAGGGAAATGACTTGCCCAGAGGCATGCCTTTATTTATTTTTATCTCGAGTCTTGCTCCAAGAGTCATGCATTTAATGAAGGGCAGATCTGGGCCCATCCCCAAGCTGAGGTGTCAGGATTCTTTTCCAGTCCTGTGTTCTTTACATGTGTCCCCAAATCTCTCCGCCACCTTACTTTAATCATCAACCACTATCAAATGCTTTGTATTAACTCCACCCCTCCTGCCAGCCCAGCGTTATGACCCATAGAACTATCCAGAGAGGCCACCGGATCCTGCTTATCTCCAGGTGCTGGCCTGAAAGTCAGAGAAGGTGCAGCTCAGGGGGGAAAGCAGCAGTCCATCCCCCATGCTCCTTCCCACCCCTCCCTTTCTGTGGTGGTTCTTGTGCCTTGAGGGCGTAGTGCCTCTAATGCCCTGAGGGTGTGGTGGTTCTTACACCCTGGGGGCGGGGTGGTTCTTGCGCCCTGAGGGCATAGTGCCTCTAGCACCCTGGGGGCATGGTGGTTCTTGCACCCTGAGGGTATGGTGCCTCTAATGCCCTGAGGGTTTGGTGGTTCTTACACCCTGGGGGCGTGGTGGTTCTGTGGTTCTAGCACCCTTGGGGCATGGTGGTTCTTGCGCCCTGAGGGCGTGGTGGTTCTTGTGACCTGAGGGCGTGGTGCCTCTAATGCCCTGGGGGTGTAGTGGTTCTAGTATCCTGAGGGCGCATTGGCTCTAGTGCCCTGAGGGAGAGATGTGCAGTGGCTCTACTGCCATGAGGGCGACAAGTGCAGTGACTCTAGTGCCCTGAGGCGGAGAAGGTCTCCAGAACCTGAATTTACCACTAATCTTCCATGAGGACTAGTTTACCTCTAGGTTCTGTCCAATGTCTTTTCTACCTCTGAGATTCTCTGATTCTCTGATTTCAGGACATTATAAACCTATCATAACCCTCCGCAATGTGTGGAACCTAGTCTAGATCTTTAAGAATGCAGATGTCATGAAATTCTTAGGGTCAATATTTAGGTCAAAGTGGGATTATCATAGAGAAAAGACAACGAATGAGTAAAATCTACCTTTATCATATTGCTATTTTCAGAACTGACCCCCTAAAGCAGCGCTCTGTTTATCAGACCCAGTCATTTGTAATCTGTAAAAATTTCGACTCTGTAGTCCAAGTGCTAGAAGCAATGATTAAAGGCAATTCCTGCAAACTTCAAAGTAGCAAGCAGTGCTGCCAAGCTGATGTCCATGAGTTCTTATGGAGCAGCTCAGGGGACTGCTAGACTATCCATAGGGACTTGATTTTCACCCAGAAAACAGGGAGAGAAAAGACCGATGCAGAAGGAATTGAGGTTCCAATAGGCTGAGACCAAAAGACTCAGAGTGAGTGCTTAGTTGAGGCATTTGCCAAGACCTTAAGGAACACCCACGCAAGAATCAGAAGTCACTCATCACAGAAGTAAGCTAGAGGGTGTTCTTCCAAGGCCACACTCTGTGGCATGCGTACAGCAGCACTCTTAAACATGGTTCCTGTTAGAACCAGAAGGGCACCCTTCATCACCATGGAGGAAGTCATCTCACAACCTGACACCCCCTCCCACACCTGCGGACGGCACTTCTCAAAGCACTTGGCTGTGTTTCCCTGTTCATCTGGCAAGCCTCGGGCAGGACAGGGGCTCAGAGCGGGAGACCATCTGAGTTGCTCAGAACAGTATGCCCTTTAAACAAGGCAGAGGCCCCCAGACTCTGTAGGTCCCATAGACTGCTTCATGATATAAAGGCCCTCATGGACTACCTACCCCCCCTCCCCCAAGCAGTTGCTACTTAAAAGAAGATGAGAAAATCCCAGCTCACGGACTAGACAGGATGTCTGGCTTTGTACTAATTACCATAAGTGGGCAGGACATAGTGGCTCACGCCTGTAATCCTCGCATTCTGGGAGGCTGAGATGGGTGGATTGCTTGAGCTCAGGAATTCCAAACCGCCCGAGCCAGAGTGAGATGCTGTCTCTACTAAAAATTGAAAAACTGCCCAGGCGTGGTGGTACATGCTTGTAGTCTCAGCTACTCGGGAGGCTGAGGCAAGATTCCTGAAGCCCAAGAGTTTGAGGTTGCTGTGAGCTGTGATGACACTAGGGCACATGTGCTTGCTTTGGCAGCACATATACTAGACACTGTGGCACTCTACCCAGGGCTACAGGGTGAGACACTGTCTCAAAAAGAAAATACTATAAATAAATTAATATTATGTGCTGGGAACTAAAGCAGAGACATTGTCCTATCATGAACCACTGGGACAGGCCCAGATAGCACCAGTGGTCCAGGGCCTGTGTGCTCTGAGAGCTGGGGGATAATGGATTGGGCAATAGCTCAACAACTCATCCCGCCCTCACCAGATCCACGGTTGACAGCATTGGCTTGGCAGATCTGGGCCTGCATGATGCTTGTGGACTTGACCTGGAATCACAGAGTGGACACGGCCTCTTGCCATACACTAGTGACTCTGAGCACGTACTGACAAGTGTGGTGCAGTAGCCAAAGATGGAACCGGCATTTGCCTGCATCAGAGGCCCTTGGTCATGGGCTTTGGAGCTGACATGGGAGCTGGCCTAGGATAAGGGTAAAAAATATGGGCTCTGAAGGCACATTCCCCTGCTTAGAATCCTGACTCTGCCATGTCCCAACCATGTGGCCTTGGACAAGCCACTGAACCTGCCCGCAGTCCTGGATCCTCATCTGTTAGATGGGTGTAATGGCTCCTATTTCACGTCTCCCATGGGGTATTAATTACAGAGCAGGGCATCTCAAACTCAGTACGATTGACATTTGGGGCAGATAACACATCATTTGGGGGTGGTTTCTTGTGCATTATAAGATGTTTAGCAATATCCCTACCCTCTACTCACTGTCGTGACAACCCAAAATGTCTCCAGATATCGCAGAATTTTCCAGATGTTTCCTAGGGGCACAAAATTACCTCCACTTGAGAACCACCATATTAGATTATGTTGTAGATAAAGTGATCCAATATCAGCAATTGCATATGGTCCCACCTAAGAATTTCAAATATTCAGTTAAAAATCTTTGAATTTTGTAGACACATTTACACGCTTCCTCTGGGTTAAAGGAACATAGTGCCTTCCCCAGATGCTTGGAAGAATAAAAGCATGAAGAGTACCTAGCCTGAGTTTGGCTTCCAAAAGCTGAATGGAATTTCTGTGAATGGGGTTACTGATGCCTGCTTCCCAGGGTTCTTATAAGGAGGGAACCCCCTTGTCACAGCAACTTCTTTGGATTTTTGAAGAGATGTGAGACATGTGAGCTGGAGATTGGCCAGGGGGAGTTGGAATGGGCTGGGGTGCAGCTGACCGGGCAGGAAGGTTTCTCTGGGAAGGCGTCAACCTGGTTAGACAAGAGCACAGGTGGCCTCGTCAGGGGTGAAGGGAGCCCTGGGATGGGTAGGTCAGTGACCTGAGACCAAATGGCAGTAGGCTTTCTAGACATGGGCCTCCTCGCACAGGTTTTTAAATCTTATTTTATGGATATACAATAAATGAGCACATTTGGGGGGTACCTGGTGATATTTTGATATATTTATATAATGTGTAATAATCAAATCAGAGTAATTGAGATATTCATAACCTTAAACATTTATCTTTCCTTTATGCTGGGAACATTCTAATTATTCTTTACAAGTTATCTTGAGCTGTACAAGAGATTTAATGGTTCCTATAGTCACTCTACTGGTTTACTGAACAGTAGGTCTTATTTCTTCCATCTACCCATTTTTTAAATCCATTAATCAGCCTTTCTTCTGCCCCACCACCCTTCCCAGCCTCTGGTAACCCTCGTACTTCTACCTGCATGAGACCCACTCTCTTAGCTCCCACACGTGAGTGAGAACATGCGGTCTCGTGTTTCTGTGCCTGGCTCATTCATGTAACATAGTGACCTCCAGTTCCATCCATGTGGCTGCAGATGACAAGATTTCATTATTTTGATGGCTGAATAATATTCCACTGTGTATATACATCCCATTTTGTGTGTCCCTTCATTCGCTAATAGACACTGAGGTTGGTTCCACGCAGAGATCTCTTCAATATGTTAATTTCCTTTCTTTTGGTTATACATCCAGTAGTGGGATGGCTGGATCATATGGGTGTCCACATTGGAGCAGAAGAAGTCACAATGTTTCCTTTGTTGACAGATGTACCGAGGCTTCACCAAGATGCCCCATGTGCAGTACATCCACACAGAAGCTTCCGAGAGTCTCTGTGGCCTTAAGCTGGAGGTCAACAAGTACCAGTACCTGCTGACAGGTAATGGCCAACTCTAGCATCTTAGGCCATGGTTTAGTCAGGGTCCACTGTGTCTTCACTTTAGAAGAACAGATAAGACTAGTTGACTTAGCAGTGTTCTGAGGACATTTGCCAAGTGTCCATTGGACAGAGTCTTTAAGGTTGAATCCGTCTTGCTAGTCTAGAGCCAGGAGCTTGAGGCTCTGTGCTTAGGCTGGGTTTTAGCCTTAGCCCCTAATTTTACTGTTTCTCAGCTTTATTATAAATGAAAAGGGATTGTCTATTCTTCTCTACCTCATGGTCCACTTATGATTAGGTCAATCTTTGAAGGTTATCCACCTTTAGGCATTCAGTGTAGTAAAGGAAAAAGCAAAAACAAAAACCATTCTAAGGGGAGCAACAAGCTGGTCTCGAGTGCTGCTCCAGTACTTAATGGGTTTGGGGCCTTTGCTAGGTGGCTTGACTTGTCTTCATTAACCTCATCTGGAAAATGGGGCTACAGCCTGTCCATCTTAAAGGATGTTGGGTCTGCAAGGCCATGGTGGGAGGGGGAGTAGATGTAAATTCTTTCCCTTCTGGCTGGGACTTAGACAAAATAACTCTTTCCTTGCCATGGCCTTTCCTCCTCCAGGCCGCGTCTATGATGGAAAGATGTACACAGGACTGTGCAACTTTGTGGAGCGGTGGGACCAGCTCACCCTCTCCCAGCGCAAGGGCCTGAACTATCGGTATCACCTGGGCTGTAACTGCAAGGTAAGGCCTATGGCTGGGGGAGGGCTGTGGGTTGGGCCTGGCAGAGGAGCACATCTGGGCAGAGGGGCAGTGAAGAAGGTAGGGAAGACTGCCTTTCTGCTGTAGTTTGCTGCCTCCCCACTGCCCACTTGGCAGCCACTGGGCCACGAGGGTCTTCAGTATCCCTGGCACTTTCCCAGCAGTTCAATCTGTAGCAAACACAGAGTCTCACACTGGCAGGTTGTGCTCAATGGTCCCAAGTGGGCTCTCCCTGGCAGGCAACTCATCAGTGGCCCCTGCCCCAGGTGAGCAGACACCAGATGCCAGATAGTCCAGAAGGTTCCTCTTCAACTAGGCCCAACCCCTTCACTCAAGCACAGGGCCAAGGCACAACCCTGCTGCTGTGGGTGGGAGTTGGGCCATTTTCTGACTTAATCTTCATTACAACCCTATGTAGTTTTAATTACTATTACCCCTATTTTTACAAATGAGGAAATAGAGGCTCAGAGAACTTAAGTACCTAGCCCTTGGTCACACAGCTTGCTGAGTCTGGTTTCCAACCTAGGGCAGCTGGACTCCATAGCTTATGCTTTAATCTTTCTGATTCTTCAGTTCCCTAAAGCTGAGATCTATTCTTGCTAGTTACCACCGAGTGGGAAAAGCCCTCTCAAATGTCTAATTCTGCAATGTATTGGCTATGTCATCGGAAACCACTTAACCCCTGTGAGCCTCTATTTCTTTATCTGTAGAAGAGAGATGAGACTGTATGAGAATATGTGGGAATACAGAAGGTGCCCAGCGAATGTAGCTGGTGCCATGTCTGTTGTTATGACTGGCCGCCCTGCAGTGGCTGCTGGGTTTGAATCCAGATTGGGGCAGCATCAAGCGTACCATGGCAGAGCCCACTAACGTTGGCTGTTATCTAATTGCAGATCAAATCCTGCTACTACCTGCCTTGCTTTGTGACCTCCAAGAACGAGTGTCTCTGGACCGACATGCTGTCCAACTTCGGCTACCCCGGCTATCAGTCCAAACACTACGCCTGCATCCGGCAGAAAGGCGGCTACTGCAGCTGGTACCGAGGATGGGCCCCCCCGGACAAAAGCATCATCAATGCCACAGATCCCTGAGCGCCAGACCCTGCCCACCTCACTTCCCTCCCTTCCCACTGAGCTTCCCTCGGACACTAACTTTTCCCAGATGATGACAATGAAATTAGTGCCTGTTTTCTTGCAAATTTAGCACTTCGAACACTTAAAAGTCTGTGCTGTCATACGGGGTTTATTTGGAACTATCCTCCTGGCCCCACCCTGCCCATTCTTTTTGGTTTTGACATCACCCATTTCCACCTGGGAATTTCTGGTGCCATGCCCAGAAAGAACGAGGTATGCATACTCCTTCTTCTTGGTGATAATATAATCTCTATTTTTTTAGGAAAACAAAAACCGAAAAACTACCCCCCTTGGGCATTGTAGTACCTACCCCTATTTCTCCTTCCCCACCCCACCATCTCCCAGGCCCTCTTCCCTTTGACCTTCTCCTCCGTCCCAATACATGAAGGGCACAGACAAGGAAGCTGCTGAGAGGCCGTCTGTTTCAGGATCGGTCAAGGGCACCAAGCAGACAGACTCGAGGTGTGGGAAAGCTTTGCACACCGAGGAGCAGCTGCTGCATGTCCCAAGCAGGCTGTGTCTGTGTCTGCATGTCAGAGTGAGGGAGAGAAGGAAGAAACTGCAAGAGAGGGCCAGAGCTGACACAGCACACACACAGGTCCCCCAGCCCACGGATGCCTGGGTTGACCAGATATTTCCATGTCTGGATCAAGCAGCCCAAGCCTCACTACCAGAGCTTTCTAAGTTGGTGAAGACTTAAACATCTGCCTGAGATCAGGAGGTAATTGGCCTGCCTTGTACAAAGGCTCAGGTGAAAGACTGAGATAAATATCTTTCCTCTCCCTGCCTCCCACAAGATTTCCTCTTGGAAAACACTTTGGTAGAGGTTTGGCTGGGAGCTTGCCTTTCTGTAAATTGGAGAAATACACACACCATACACTATCCACAGATATAGCCAAGTAGATTTGGGTAGAGAATACTATTTCCAAAGTAGCATTTAGCTCACCTAGGGGGTGATGTGTTTGTACACACATCTGCATATACCCACACGGGGACATAAGCTAATTTTTTTTTTAATAGGACACAGAATTCTGTTCAATGCTGTTAAATACGCCAATAGTTTAATCTCTTCTACTTTGTTGTCGTTGCTTGTTTGAAGAAAATAATGACATTCCAAGTTGACTTTTTTTTTTCATCTTAATTAAAATTTGAAATGCTGAACATCCTCAGCTCCCTCTCTTCCCCATAACTGGGGGTCATCTGACCTCTGTCCCTGTCTTCTTCTTCTGCCTCATGTTTGGGGCCTTCATTTAACTGCCTTATTGGCTTGGCTGAGATAGCAGATGAGAGTCAGTTGGGGTGGGGGGTCTGGTCTTCCTCTTTCCCCAGCTCACTGGTGGGTGAATGTCACCTCCTGAGGTCCTCACCTTGTGGAACTGAAATGGTCCCTGGGGAAGCCCGACTCTGCAATCCATTGTAGGGTTTTTGTTGTGTTTTTTTGAAATAAAACTATGATTTAAATTCTCCTATTAAATGAAATGATTTTAAGTTTTAGTGTTAAAAGTGAGATGCCAAGAGTAGGTGACAATGTCTCTTCACAGAGTTGGGGATGGTAGGATGGTGACATTCAACATGATCGCTCTCTGTCTCTTTTTTCAGACTATGGGTATTTATCCTCTATTAGCATTTATATCTTCAGTTCATTCCACTTTAGGAAACAGAGCTGCTGACTGAAACAGGAGAAGAGAAAAAAGAGAAGCAGCCAGCACACTGTAGTGTCTTTCACACACACAAATGCCCAGGCAGGGTGTTTGGCAGAACCCCAGAGCAGGAAGACAGTGCAGGTGTTCCTGAGGATCGACTGCATTACCTTGTGCCTTTCCCCTGGCTGGTCACACCATTTGGCAGAGGGGGAAATGGGAGCAGAAGGTGCTGAGGTCAGTGGGTCAGTTGTTTTATAGGGATGAGCCCAGACTTGGTGTTTGGAGGATTATCTTTCTTTCAACCTCAAAGTCTCGAAAGGTGGGGCCCCTGCCCAACCCGCACAGGTGCCCTCCCGCAGGTCCACAAGTGGACACTGGTGTCTCCTCTGTGAAGCATCTGGCCGTTCTCCGTCCCTGGCATGTGGTCACCCCCATTCACACACAGAGAGACTTGGGTGAAGCCTGAACACAAGGCATCTGAAGTCTCCCTGTGGAGTAGAGAAGTCAGAACCACAGCTCCACCTGTTAGACCTTGGCAAGGAGGTCCTGGGCAAAGAAGGGTCTTTTGCAAAGCAATGTGGTCAGAGGGCGGTTTTTGAGCTTTCTATAAGCTATAGCTTTGTTTATTTCACCTGTTCACTTACTGTATAATTTAAAGTCATTTATGTAGCTGAGACACTTCCATATTTCAATTATATTGTGAACGTTTTATTTTGCTAAATCTTGTGTCATGTGTAGGCTGTAATATGTATACATTGTGTTTAAGAGAGAGAGAGGAAAAAAAAAAAAAACCCACATGCCACCATTTTCCTGAATCAAATTCTACAGTGGAAAGGAGAGTAAAATACTTCTATGGGGCAGGCAGCTAGACTGGTGAATCAGGGGAACTAGAAAGAGCTAATAATTGAGACTCCTCCAGCCTCTTCTCTGTTTGAACCCCCATGGTTCTCAGGGTAGGAAAGAGAAGGGGAAAAAATAGAAAGTCCATTCACATGCTTGCTCTGTATCTACTGGCCCTGTGTAGTCTGCTACTCACTCTCATTCCCTTTCCTCCAAGACCCTTTGACCACCCAAGTAGGAAGCCATGATTTCTCCAACAAATCCATGGGGCTGTGATTCCAAGTTCTCTTTGCCTTCTTTGGGAATCTCTTCTGCCCTACACCCAGGCTAATCTTGCCTTTCAAGCCTATGTTTAGACCAGGGCAGGGCAGGTAAGACTATGAGACTGATATTTTTTACCCTATTTTAGTCTCAGACTTGCCTCATGGTGGTTCACCTATAGCTATGAGCACCATTTTTCACACCATGGTTCTTGAACAATTAAAGAAACAAATGAATTTTTGCAATAACTCTGTCTAAGAGACACTGGGGCCCCAGGAAATACTACCTTTGTCTGCCCTAGCTTTTCTCATCTTGTGGATGACAGTGTGGATCATCCTAAGGTGGCACCCAAGTAAAAATATCACTAGAGTATTTTTATCAGAGAGAAACATTATAAATATATAATGGCAAAAGCAAAACAAAATGGGGGAACGTAAGGCAGGTAGATAGCCTTTCAACAACTTCTGAATTGGCTCTTTGAAAGTGGGAGGAAAGCAAGAATTTAAGAGGATGGTTCATGCTTTGGGGGTGGGGGCTTCTTAGATTCTTCTATGTCCCCAACGTTCCCCACAGCCAGTCTGCTGTCCTGAAACCCAGAAGTGATGGAGAGAAACCAACCAGAGAAAACCCTGTCTAGAAGGAATGTATTTGTTGCTAAATTTTGTAGCACTGTTTACAGTTTTCCTCCATGTTATTTATGAATTTTATATTCCGTGAATGTATATTGTCTTGTAATGTTGCATAATGTTCACTTTTTATAGTGTGTCCTTTATTCTAAACAGTAAAGTGGTTTTATTTCTATCACATATCTGCCGGCTCTTGCCTTGTTCTATCTTGACAGCCACAGGGGTTATAGGGACACCAGAGTGCTTTGGGCGGCTGTCCTGCTGCCCTAATTCCAGGCCTGTACACACTCCCTCCGACACCCACTTCTACAGCCTGCCCCAGCCTACCGCAGTCCTTTTTATACCCTTGGCAGGAGGAATTTCAGGCATGGTTACCTAGATTTTCTCTGGGTTGCAAACTCAACTCTGACCTTGGTCCCCAACTCTATTGCCAGGGTTCTCCAGAGTTCTACAAGATCTGGATTTCTATCTAACCACTCATGGCTGGGGGTACAGGTAGTCCCAGACTGGGGTCATGACTCATCCTTCCTTGTTTTTTCCCTAAGAATATCAACCTGATGGAGTTGGAGAGGGGAGGCCTTGATGCCAATTGTTCGCTTGAAATTCCAATTATGGCTTAGCCTGGTTGAGGATGCCAGGAACTCATGAGGCTCCATGATGCTGGCGGACCCTCCCGAAACACACAAAAGGCCTACAGACCCCTTGCCCTACTTGCCTCCCACTGTTGAAAATGTTTCAGGTTATAGGTTTTACCGCTATTTGCGAGCTACTGTACTTTGAGCACCTGTCATATGCAGGGCACAGCACTTTGTATTCATGATCATGTGTAATCGCAATGATTTGATGAGGTTGTTCCACTGTCATCTGCAGCATATAACTGAGGAATCCAAGGTTTACTGACAGTAAGCCATTGCCTAAGAAGTAGTATGCAGACATAGCTGGGATCCAAACTCAGGCTGGTTTAATAATTAACCCCAGATTTTCTCCACTGTATTCACATACTTTGTTGGAATATGATTGGTTACACTTGTGCCCTTTCTATTCCAATTGGCACATCTCAGATTCTGTGACACTCACTGGATCAGGTATAGAGGAAAGACAATCAATGGAAAACCTCGGCTTTAACCCAGCTGCTCCCAGCTAGAACCTATAGTATTACTTGTCAGTGCCCCAAACAGGGTTGTTCAGTTCAGCAGCCAGACCTCCAATCTTACAAACAGGCCACAGCCCCCAGCTTGGACTACCAGATACCCTACTAATTATTCTGTTTCCTGAGACTCATATTCTCTGCAAGCTCAAGTTCAAGGCCATGGCCCTGCCTTCCTTTGACCAGTTTAACAAGACTGTGCCACACAAACAGGACTGTGTCTAGCTGCCCACAGCTCCTGCACCCACCTTCCAGATGTAGATGGAGAATTCTCCATGCCACTCAAAAAGATCTTAGTCTCTCCCTCCAAGGTATCCCCCAAATCAGGGGCTTTACCATGAGCTAAGCTCCACCTGCTTCCCAGAAACAACCTCAGGGGCGTTCAAAAGTTAGAAAGTGAAAAGGACACATAAGGTAACTGTCCCTCAACAATCACTGCAAACAAAACATTGCTGCTTTGTATTAAAATATAGTTTGAAATCATGTCCCAGAAAGAGCTCAAGTGAAACAACATCTTGCCTTGAAAACATTTTTACCTTTATAATCAACCTCTGGCTCCACATGCCAGCTCAAGTTGTCCCTAATATGTTAAAGATTCCTGAGGTCCCAACAAAATGCTGTCCACCTTTGTCCTTTGTCTTACTGCCCAAAATTCACCTGGAGAGATGGCTTGTCCCCCAGGAAAATCAGGCATTCTCACAAGACACTGGGGCTCTTCATGAGAGTCCAGGTGATCACGGAGTGACCCTTGAGTCCTGAGGACTCAGACATCTGTGTTTGTTCCACATCATGAAAAGAAACATAGTTTTAAAAAAGGGTACTCACCATTGGCTTATGGTTGGGAAAAAATGTTTGCTCCACAAGCGGGAACTTCTCAGGACCCAGGGAATGGAAGATCTTAATGAGTTGAGAGAACTAGAATAGAAGAGAAGAGGTTGATCAGCTATTGTTACCCAGCCTGGTGACACTTTCCATTTCTACTTTCTTGACCTTCAAGCAACCAACTGCTTGGAGCTCAGCTCCAATAGCCATTCCCAGGCTACAAGATAAACACCAGAGTCCTGGGCTGGGCATTCATCCTCTCCATTATCTCGCTGCATCGACCCCTCCAGGCCTGCCCAAGATCTGCAAAGTGGGCAGGATACTGGCTTCAGCTCAACTGCATTAATGGGCACACGCAGCATCCCCAGCATTTCACATAAGGTCTTTGTCCCTGAGCTAACTTGCTGATGTTCAGTGCCATCCATGGCCTCTGTCTGAAATGTCTTCTTTCTAGAGAGGCAGCACTGCACAGTAATTCATGGTATAGACCTTGGATCCAGCCTCTCTGGTTACAAATTCTCTCTCTACCACCTACTATCTGTGTAACCCAGAAAGTCACTTCAGGTTTCTGGGCTTTGTTTTCTTCACCTACAGATTGGATACAACAAGAGTCCCTACCGCATAGACTTCTTGGCAAGAGACGGCCTGTCTGTCTCCATAGGAATGCTCAAAGGCTAGATGCTGTCATTATTAATGCGCATTTTTCTTGCTGTCACAACCCATTTCCAATAGCTCCCGCCACAGCCCTTCCCACTGTGCTGGTGCTGCTTTGGCAATTCCTTGTTCTTTCCTAGATTAGCTATTGTCCCTAGAGGTAGAGGATGAGCTCCATCACTGCACTTCATCATCAGGGCCACAGGTTGACCCTGAGCAAAGATAAGCCACAGGCACATGGTTGAGATAGAAGGGGAAAGAAGTGTGGGGGACTATGGGACCACAGCAGGGGATCAGGGATGCTCCCTGGACTAGATGGCACCAGAGAAGGGAAAGGACTTCTCACCACACTGTGGGGATGCAGTGAGAGTTGTGTGTGCTGTAGAGTCTCGGTAAATGTCATGGATGTGGCCTCAAGTGGAGGGGACAGTGAGAGAGGAAGCTGGAAGGTAATCCATCACAGACTACTGCAAGCTATGAGGGTACAGCCAAGGATCCTAGACTTCACCCAGATGGCAAAAGAGAGCTACTGGTGGATATAAGCAGGAACGGGCAAGTCAGCTCCTGAGCAAGAGCGTGCAATCAGCTGCAACTTGTTTGCTAAATGTGGATGCCTAATGGCTAGAAAGGGGAGGTTAAGTCTCATGCCAGTCTGACTTGGGGGTCATTAGGAACTTTCTGCATCTGCCCAGGATTGGTCTGCCAAATCTTGGGGTGTAACCTGCATGTACAGTGCAATAGGAAGCCAACTTGGAGGGCCTGGTAGACCTCAGAATTGTGGGGAGTGATAGGATTCCTCATTTTACAGATAAGGAAATAGGAGTCCAGGATGGGAGCTTAGATCCACAATTAAGTACAGGGCTTTTAGAGAGGCCCAATGACATCACTTACTACTAGCTACATGAGCCCCAGTTTCCTCATCTGTACAATGGAAATAATTAGTGACACCTACTCCCTAGGTACCTCTGAGGATTAAACACGATATGCATGTTAAAGGCTCAGGCAGGCACATGGATAGTGCTAATGAACTGTGGTTGCTAACATCACAATAAATGTGGAGGAAAAGGTGAGGGGGGTGGGCTGATACTATTGAGGGCCCTTTCTAACAGTAGCACTTGAATCTTGGCTGCCTTAGGCCAAAAAGTTCAGTTAGGGCAAAAGGAGAAGGGGACCAAGGCCATGATAATAGTGTAAAGACCATCCATCTCTCTTAAATCAATGCGTGCAGACATTCAGCAAATACTGAGCGCCCATTCGGCACAGGCCTTGTGCCAGTGATGACTGCCACCATTCACTGAATGTCTGCCTTGTGCCAGCCACCATTATAAGCCTTTATACGTGTTAACTGGTAAACCAATCAGGAAGCCCCTAGATTGTCATCATTTTCCAAATAAGGCTGGTTCAGAGAGGTTAAGGAGATTGTCCAAAGCTACACAGCTTATAAATGGAGGAGGCTGGACCTGGGAGTCCGCCCGCAGGGCCCACACTTTCAAGTACTGCCCTGCATCACCAGATGATTACACAGAATGACAGAAACACCAGACAGAGCAAAGAGCTGTGAGCGCCACAGGCCACATACCCCACACCCTTCACATTATCATCATTCCTCCTTCCCGCCTTTATTTCGCCCCTGGGCACTTATCGTAGGAAATTTTACATATTCGGTATATTGCTTATGCATTATACTAGAATGTAATCCACTGGGCAGGCATTTTGATCATGATTTGCTCACTGTTGTGTTCCTAGGACTTAACAACAGTAGCTGGAACTGAGTAATTGCTCAATAAATATTTGTTGCACGAGCAAATTACTTCCAGTCAGTCAGAGAAACAGATAATGCACAAATGAATGGAAAAGCATTCTAGTAGAGACAAGTATTTTGGGAAAAAAAAATAAAGCCGGGTACCGGGTAAGGCATATGAGAGTATCTAAAGAAGTGGAGGGCTGATATTTTAGGAAAATAAAAGGTCTCTCTTATAGTAACATTTGGCTGGAAATGCAAATCAAATGAATGGCCGAAATGAATGAATAAATGAAGAGAAATAAGATGTGGGATGTTGAGGATAGATGGTTTCACATTCTAGCTTCACCATTTACTGACTACATGACCCCAGTCAAGGAAGCTGAGTTTCCTTCTCTGCAAAATGGGGAAATGATATCCACTCAGTGATGGAGCACAGCTTTCTGGCCCATAGTAAGTGCTCAATAAATGGTGCCGACTGTTAACAGCAATGACAATAAAAGGATAGAATGTTAATGGAAACAAAGTAACACATTCTTATGATTATACTATTCTAAGCCCAGGAGCACAGCTTTCTGGTCCATAGTAAGTGCTCAATAAATGGTGCCGACTGTTAACAACAATGATGATAAAATGATAGAATGTTAATCAAAACATTGCAATGCATTCTTATGATTAGACTATTCTAATGCTACCGTGTTGTAACATGGAATTATATACTATTTTCTATATAAAATATTTCAATAAGAGTCAGCTTGTTCAGTCCCTTATATAAGATTCTTTTCATTACAGAGGGCTCCGTGCTGGGAAATGGGCCCACTCCCTCTGGGCCCCCTCCAGGTCTTCCTGGCCCATCACTTACCACCCAGGGCTTGCTGCAGAAGTTGTAGACGGAGTAGAGAGAGTTGACGGCGGGGAGCCCTCCGTACTGCAGGCCGATGACCAGGCTGCGGTAGTCCTCGCCCAGGGCCATGCTGTAGGCATGCTGGCGGACCAGGATGAAGTCTGGTTTGAAGGATCTGCTGAGAGAGGGGTCAGCAGAGCGTCACTACCACCCTGCTAGTTCTGAGTTGAGAATGGGGAGGAGGAGGCCTGGGTGCTGACACGTGGCTACCCTTCCACAAACTCAAAGGACTGAAAAGAGAGTATACTTACTCCTGTTTGGGTTTTTTTTGTGGGTGGGCTCTTTTTTTTTTCTTTTTTTTTGTCACCATGGTATCCTACTAGCTCACAACAACAACAGTCTCTTGGGCTTAAGCAGTCCTCTTGCCTCAGCCTCTTGAGTAGCTGAGACTATAGACACCCACCACGATGCCTGGATAGTTTTTCTATTTTTAGTAGAAACAGGGTCTCACTCTTCCTCAGGCTGGTCTCAAACTCCTGAGCTCACGAAATCCTCTGCCTCGGCCAATCAGAGTGCGAGCATGACAGGCATGAGCCACCGTGCCTAACCAGGACACTCTTTTCTAAATTGTCTCCACTGAACATCTACTTAATTTGCAGTGAGGACACTGCAGCTCAGAGAAGTTAGGAACTTCCCCACTCATAGAGCCGGGGAGCAGGAGAGCCGCACTTGAACTCAGGTCATCCACGTCCCCGTGCTTTTTACTCCTGCACACAGCCCCAGGGGTAGTCACACAGTATTTGCTGCATACGGCCAAGGAGCTACCTCTTTTTTTGATTCCTCACTTCTAAGACACATGAAAATAGTCATCTTCTCTATAAAGATGAGGCCGACACTCAAAGAGGTCTCCTATCGATCCACTTGGCTCATCGAGGAGCAGATACTTGCTTCAAATGAATTGTACCTCTTAAATAATTCTAACGGAAATTGAAATTACTCTCCAAGGGAAAGGATTTGCCCCCGGTGCAGATGGAAGAAAAGGATAGCTGGTGTCTGACCCTGCAAGCAGCCGTGCGGTGGGGAAGAAATGGATGATGAGTGTAAACATCCCCCCATACCCACCAGAGAAAATGGCAGGGTCTCCAGTACTGAGTTGTAACACATCTCAAGGGGCCACCTGGACAGTGGCATCTTCTCCACACGCATGGCTCACACTGTGCTCGTGGAAGTATTTCTCTTACTATGAATATACCTTCCAAAATATAATTTTTTATCTCTATACACTAGTCCTCTGAATGATATATATTATTAAATAGGCTATCTCTAATATTCCACACATAAACATCTTTGCACACAACTAGTGCCATCCTGTTAAACTATTTCCATAAGATAGATTCTAAGAAGTGGGATTAATGGATTAAAAGATATAAACTTTTCTTAAGGTACTCAAAAAAAGTGCCCCCTCTTTAAAAGGTCCATTTCAGCAATTGCTTATGGAAGTGTCCATCTCACAACAGCCTTGCCAGCACTGTGGTTTTTGAAAAATATATTGTTCAAGTTGATAAGGGAATGTCCCCCAAAGATACCCTGTATCTCACTAGTGGTGTGAAATTGGACACTTTTTATTAACCATCTGCATTTTCTTTTCTGGAAGAGTTTGTTCACATATTTTTTCCATTAAAAAAACTGAGACCTACTATTTCCTCATTGATGTGAGCTCTGTATGTTAAGGATACCGCCTTTACCTATCACATGTGGGTGGCAATGACTTTATGGGATTCTCGCTCACCCTTTCTTATAATGGCTGTGCATCTTAAAAACAACACACACACAAGTTTTACATCCCCCTTTTCCTCCCACCCCAATTCAACTGATCATTTATTCCCTTTTGATTTCTCTCTTTGCTTTGAAGACCAGTGGGCCCTCTGAAGCCCTGGGTCTGCCACTGAGACATCCACTCCTTCCAGGCAGTGTGGCCTGTATGACACACAACAGTGGCAGCAAACTTGGTGTCTTGTTAGGGATAATGCCATCTATCTCTACAAGGAAATAATGAAAGGTCTCTGCTGGTCGAGCTCCTAGTCTTTTTACTACTGTGTTGAATTCATAAGAGAGACACAGCCCCGGGAAGAAAAAATGAATGTGGCTGCCTAGAAAAGGAGGCTGCCCTTCCAAGACAACCTTCCCAGAGGAGAATCCCATGGTGTGTCTCGGGTTCCAGACATTGTAGAGCTTTCTCTCTCCAGGTTTCTCAAACTCACTTCCAAATCGGAACCTTTCTGGTTCTTTGAAATAAAAGCAGCAGTCACGTCCTCATTAGCTTTAAGGATTTGGAAATCTACCAAAGGATTCCCCATTCAAAGTGCTCTTTCCAAACTACCCACGGCTCTCCTGCTTACAACCCTGGAAACATTCTCCTTCTGACGAGAGACCTTCGGTCCTTCCCATGGTTATGAGGCCTCTAGTGATCCGGCCTCTGCCCCGCCCCCCCCTCCCCCCATTTGCTTTTTCCCTTTTCACCTCCAGCGACTCACACTGACCACTGTCCCTCTAATTCCTTTGACGGGTGGCTCTTCTCCCACATCGTCCCCAAAGCTACCAGTCCTGTCTAGGTTTTTGAGATTTGCTTTAACCCTCATATGACCCCGTGTTTTTTCTCTCCTTGGTTCTTGGGATAATTTTATTTCTCCTGTTTATTTGTTTAGTCGCTAACAGTCTGTCTCTCGTCTAAAGATGCCAGCTCAGGGAGAACAGAGGACCTGCCTGTCTTGGACAAAATAGGCCTTCACAGTGTTTTTAAATGAACGATTGCATTCATGAATGTGGGTATAAATGAAGGAGTAAATGAATGAACACACAGTGGATCGGCCACTGGGAGGGGGAGACACTGGTCCCGGAGAATTAGAACTGATGGACAAAGTAGGCAGAAGGAAATGCGTGCCCCGAACAACTACGGGGTTGCCTTATGGGGTAACAAGTCCCGTACTTTGGGAGGTATGTTAACATCAGCAAGAGGTTTTTAACCCAAGAGAATTCAGGGTGGCTCCCATGACCTCTTGAGATTCTCAGATCCAGTATTTGAAAAATAAGCAAATCCCATGTGTGATAAACACGTAGCAGGACAAACCAGGACTATATTATAGTTTGAATTCTGCACTCATTGCTACCTACATGGCACAGAGTCCTTCTCAGAGTCTGGAGTATGAGAGATTTGCATGGAATACAGAGAAATCACTCACTCAGGCTGGGCGACCTGTGGCATGCGGTTCCCCTTTCCCGTATCTAGCACCCCGAGGTACCTCTGCAGCCAGGGAATGGCCAACTCCTACACATCACCACAACATTCCAGGTGTGGACTCCAGCAGTCACCAAGCCCTGACAGGGAGCCGAGCACTCTGGCAGAGGCCCAAGATCCTAAGACAACAGGAACAGGAGTCTGGCTTTTGTGAAACTCACAACCCATGTTGGATGCAAGATGCTCTCAGGATTTGGTAAATGAACAAATGAATCAGCAAGTGAGTAAAATAATTGGGGTACTAAAGGCTGTACTAAACTCCGCCTGGAGGTGGGTGTGCGCTGGAAGGCTTGAGTCTCAGAAGAAAAGCAGGGGTTGTCAAGTGGGCAAGGTTGGAGAGTATTCCAGGTAGGGAATGGCACTGGTAACTGAACAGAAGGGGCCTCATAGTGATGACCTCCGCTGGGTTCTGTTTGATCTGCTCATATCCTCCCTTCTTTGGAAACAGAGCCCCTGATAAAATCCTCTCTGATCTGAGAACCACATTTCCCTGGGCAGGAACTGGTCTCGGGACAGTGCCTCTGATATAAAACGGGCCCATCAGAACCCTTCTCAGGGATGTTGTATGTGAGCTCCAGGATAGAAGGGTGGCCAGCTAAGCCAGTGTCACATCAGTTGGGGCAGGGAAGGAGGAACCTGGGCTGTAGCAGAAGCCCTAGCTGGGAACAGAGACAAGAGCCCTGTTGACGTTAAGGAAGCCCCTGACTGCTGCTGAGCCTGACAGCAAGACCACCTTTGCCTTCTGAGTTATGGGACCCTTTTGTGCCTCAACTAGTTTGAACTGGGCCACCAGCCGCGCCCTGGTTGATATTGGGAGTAAGTAGCAAAGTTTGCAATTGGTTCCATGGCTGAACAAGGTATGATGAAGTAGCATCAAGAGATGGGGCTGGGTCAGAAGTCCCCACAACCCTCTAAGCGCCTTCCCGCCTCCCTGGGGGAGACCCACGGGGCCCAAACTCTGGGTCTTTTGTGCCTGGGCGAGGTCTCCTTCAATCCCACACAAATTGGCACATCCTGGCAGCAGGCTATAGCTGTTTTCTTGTTATTTTGGCTTTAAACTGTTAACATGAGCTATATTATTTAGACTCCTCATCCCAGGCCTTTCTCAGAAGTGGCTGTCGTCACTAGAGAGGAAATCAAGGATGAGGTATAATTACAGGGGAAAGATGGGACAGGTGATGCCTCGCTCGGGGATTACTGAATGCTTCAGGTGGCGTCAGCAGGCAGGGGGCCAGCGGCTGAGTGACTTTCAGCCACTGGAGAAGTGTAATAATTCCCTCAAATATGCAGAGGCCTGTGGTGGCAAGTACAGATCTTGGCTCTGCTTTACCTGGGACCTAAGTTAATGAGCAGAGGCCTCATTATTCCTAGTCGCTTGACTGCTATTTCGTCAATGTCCCCTGGTCCCCAAGAGCCAAGTTGGCAAGGGGTGATGATTATGCTGATTGTGTTCACATGCTGAGACCCCTCACAGCCAGATCTGATCCCAGCCATGCCTGAGAAGGCTCCCGACTGCCTGACATCCACGTCTATCAGCAGAGGGACTTCAGGCTTCCCCTCAATGTCCCCTCATAATATTCCCCGTAACATTTCTCTCTATCTCTGACAATGCAACCTTGGTATCCAGTCTGGGGGAAGGGGACAAAGGGAGCTGAGAAGACCATCAGAAGGTCAGGGGAGACCAGAACATCTAAATGGTCTCCATCCTCCTGATGCCTCTGGACTGCTGTGAGGATGAACCAGAGGGAATGTGTGAGCCTTGCAGATGGAGGGATCGGAACAGCCATATGGAAGGACTTTGGGAATTAGCAGTGCTTCCCGCCAGTTGGAGGACTGCAAGAAATTAGTCCAGGCTGAAAAGAAATTAGGTGGCAGCCAACCAA